CCACTAGATCTGAACTGTTTATCCATGTTTTCCTGCGTATGCTATGTGATGGTTGTCCATGTCATAATTGCTGGTTATCCACCAATTTCATACTAGTTATCCACATAGCATACTGGCTATCCACTCATTTCATATTGGTTATTCAGAAGGTGTAAACTGGTTATCCACAAGTTGTAAACTGGTTATCCATGTTTTTTTTACATTTGATTCTATGTGGCATGGACAAACTGAACTGGTTATCCATGTTTTTGTATTTTTTTGTTACTGATTATCCACTATATATCTGAACTGGTTATCCAAGTTTTCTTGCGTGTGTGCTATGGGGCGATTGTCCAAACTTTGTTTGTGGTTATCCACCCATTTTATACTGGTTATCCGCAGGGTGTAAACTGGTTATCCATTGTTTTTTTTTATGTGCTTTTATGTGGCTACATGTCCATACATTATTTGCTGGTTATCCACCCATTTCATACTGGTTATCCACAAGTTGTAAACTAGTTATCCACATAGCATACTGGTTATCCACCCATTTCATACTGATTATCCACAAATTGTAAACTGTTTATCCACAAGTTGTAAACTGATTATCTAGAAAGTGTAAACTGGTTATCCACAAGTTATAAACTGGTTATCCATGCTTTTTTTACATTTGATTCTATGTGGCATGGACAAACTGAACTGGTTATCCACTATATATCTGAACTGGTTATCCAAGTTTTCCTGTGTGTGTGCTATAGGGTGCTTGTCCAAACTTTGTTTATGGTTATCCACCCATTTTATACTGGTTATCCGCAGGGTGTAAACTGGTTATCCATTATTTTTTTAGATGTACTTTTATGTGGCTACATGTCCATACATTATTTGCTGGTTATCCACCCATTTCATACTGGTTACTCCTTTTTTGATTACTGCTCCTTTTCGTATCCTGCTATTTTGTCCACTGACTTCTTAGTGATTGTCCAATGCCAACAGTGCCCTAAAGGAGCTTAGAACAAAAATAGGCACAGACAGATCAGCGCAAGCCACGACCTTAACCGCAACCCAGACAGATCACCGGATCCTGAACTAGAGGTAATGAGCTCCCTGAAGGAACACTGACAATATTTAAAAAACAAAAATCAACACAAGAAGAACTGTCATTATGTTCTCTTGTATAATTGATTGACTGTTGATCCTAAAGTGTTTGATATCCAACAGCTGTGTACTGGCCATCCTAGTATATTATCCAACCGTTTGTAATGGTTATCCAGGATCTTTGTACTAGTTATCCAACTTGTTACACCTGATTATCCGAATGTTTTATAGTGATTATCCAGTCAAAAAATGCAAGTACAGTCTTTAACCTGATTATCCATGAGTTTATATAGTGAGAATCCATCGGAATTTTCGTTGATGAATGGCATGCTTTGATGAGAAGCATTCACAGAAGTGGAAACCTCTGCCCCTGAAAAATCTTGGGCAGCTACATTTGGATTAGTAAATGAGAATCCACCAAAATTTACGTTCAAAGATGGCATGCTTTGATGGGAAGCATTCACAGCAGCAAAACTTCCTGAGCCTGAAAAATCTTGAGCAGCTCCCTTTGGATAAAGAAATGGCATGCTTTGATAATGCAGGTCTGATGCAACTGAAGCTCTTGTTCGGTCAGCAGCAATTCTTGCATTTGTTTTCCTGCCTCTAACTTTGTTACATGCCTTCTCAACAATGCTTTTAGGATGTTCGCTCCTGGGACCAAACTTCTTCCTCTTTACAGCCGGATTCTTTATAACACCATCATTGTCTACAGACTCATCATTATTATTCGAACCAATGAAACTACCGAGTTCTTCTTTAATCCTTTCAACCGCCTCGTCACAACATTTCTTTGCATCTTTGTTATATTCACTTGTATACACCAAGTCTGAAAATCGTCTCATAATTAGTGCCTTCCACAGCAATGGCCCAGCAGCTTTTCCATCTCCCTCATTAGCTATGCTTGACCTGGCACCATAACCTTTTGTCCATCTCATACATATATAATCTTTAGGAAACTCATCAACAGAGGTTACATGACAGATTCGAAGAATGTGGCAACAAAGCATGCCCGCCTCAGAGTAGTACCTGCACGTGCATGAGAATCTCTGTAACCTAATGTCATGTACAACCACATGCTTAAAGTGCTCTATCCCAAACTGCCAAACATTGTACGTCACAATATTGCCATCATTTGAGACCTCTAAATGCTCCTGCCTGCACAACATCCCATCTTTGTGCAACTGCTGAACCTCTCTAAATGCTTCAACTGTGTACACTCTGCGAATGCTCTCCAGGAAAGGGTCACCAGGAAGATATGAATCGATGTTTCCCTGGCTACAGCGTAGATCTTCACCCCTCACAACTACCTGCCAACAGTGTACAACATAAGAGAAAACCCCATGGAAATCACAAAGCGATGATGTGGCCTTCATTTTACGACAAATTGCATTATTTGTTGACTCGCTCCTCTGTGAAGACAAGGTTCCACCAGAAAAAACATCTTTGCTAAATGCAGGGCACCACATATGCCTCACATCATAAATACCATTGAGCCATTTGTCATCATGACAATCATACTCATCTAATAATCTGTGCACAACAATATAAAACACATGCATAAAAAGAAAAATAGTTAGATTATCCATATAGATCCATAAAGAAACATTTATATCCTTAGGCTTTCTACTGCTTATCCAGTAATCATTTATAGATTATCCAAAACCTGGTACTGTCTATCCATCAATAACCCCTTTAAACCCCTGCAATAATTTCCTAATGCTTATACAAAGGCTTTCTACTAGTTATCCAGCCATAATTATTGGTTATCCACAATGTGTAAACTAGTTATCCAGCCATAATGGGTGGTTATCCACAATGTGTAAACTAATTATCCAGCCATAACTGCTGGTTATCCACAATGTGTAAACTAGTTATCCAGCCATAATTGCTGGTTATCCACAATGTGTAAACTAGTTATCCATGCCCTATTTTTGGTTGTGCTTCTATGCGGCTGCTTGTCCATATATTATTTGCTGGTTATCCATCATTGCTGTATAACTTACCTACCTATAAGTAATCATTAGGAAGATCATGCATGACCACTAACACATACCCACAAAACAAAAAAAATAAGAGACACTCTTAATCATGACAATGATCAAAATAATAATAAAAATATTGACAAACTGACATCCTCTATAATACCTCGAACTCAATTTCTGTTGAAGTGTATTTCATCAGATAATTAAAGTTCTTAACAAAATCTGGCTTGTTCCTTAAATGACCAATTCGCTTTCTTGAATTTTTACCTATGTGCCATACACAGAGACGATGCCGAGAACTTGAAAAACATGTCTGAATACTTGCAGCAATGAAAGATGCTTGATCTGTCATTATGGTTTGTGGCTGCTTATCTCCCATTGATTTCAAAAACTGCTTGAACAACCAATCAAAAGAGGGTTCTTTCTCGTTTAACACAAAACCACAACCAAACATGACCTTCTTGTTATGATTATCCATACCCACAAATGGAGCACAGATCATTCCATATCTGTTTGTTCGATACGTCGTATCAAACACAAGCAAGTCACCAAACAAATCATAATCCTTTCGCATTCTGCCATCCCTCCAGAAAAAAGTACACAGCCTACCCTGCTCATCACAGTCAAAATCAAAGAAGAAATCTTCTTCAGTTCCCTTCCTGTGCCAAAAAATCTTCATCAGCTGATTACAATCGCCACCTTCAAATCCAACACCAGGATGCTCATAATTGTAGGCATCTTTCAAAGTATACTTCATGTTCGGACTTCCCCCGTGTAATTTTGCCACAAACTTATATGCATCAACCAAAGGGATGCCACTCCTTGTCATGTCTCTGATTATCTTCATATCATTTTCATCTACTTCACGTTGAGATCGAAGAAGTCCAATCATTTCATTCGGCATAAGATCATGATTGTGATCAACCAGATGCTTTGTACAGGTCCACAACCCATCTTTGTCAATAGTAAAATGGATATAAGCTGGACACCCACACCAAAAATTAATCCTCTTATGGCACACATCACCATTTCCACCGGATCTCTTTTATCCTTTGCGGTTACAACAGAACTTCTTCATCCTAACTTTATCAGTCTTACCTCTAAACTTCTGTTTTCTCACTCTCACACTAAAACCAATCAATCGGGCATGATCATTATACAAGTCATAAGCTTCTTTCTCACTTCTTGCGTCTTGCCAACTAAAGTAAAAATAGCCAAATCATTAATTCTTCGTCACAGATGAAATTTCCTTGTGCAAGGCATCCTCCTCCACCAGCACATTATCAACTCCCAATTCATTGCCGCTATTATCTTCTGCACATTCTAAGAAAAACAAAAGAGATGGTTGGATAACCATTACCAAGCAGTCGGATAATCAGTATTAACACAATGGATAAACAAATCAAAAAAAAAATTAAAACACATATAAACAAGTTAGAAAACCTACCCTTCAGAGCAGATGTGATTTCCATGCGCAAAGCATCATCCGGCATCACATCATCCCCCAACTCATTGATATGGTTATCTTTTACAAAAAATGAGACAAACAAAAAAACAAAAAAATTTTTTAAAAAAACCTTTGATACACCAATTCAATATAAACAACTCAAAAATGTTGGATATCCAGTACAAATCAGTTGGATATCTAGCAAACAAAATTTGGATATGCATGTAAATCCGTCGGATAACCAGTACACATAAGTTGGATATCCAGTACAAACAAGTTGGATATTCATACAAATTTCATTAAAGTTGGAAAACCAACACAAAACGAGTAGGAAAACCAGTAATTCAAAAAAAAAGTTTCATAATCAGTACTTCGTATCGTCTATCCATGTTTACCACAATCAACAAAATGCATATCCGCATAACAAACGATATCCGACACAGCATAACTGCTTATCCACTTCATAAAATATTAACAAAAATAGAACTGTGAAACAACTAGATTGATTCTTCTCTCACAAACAGTACACTCTGAAACCTACACAAACCTGATTGCAGCGGATCTATAACAGAACTGTGACCTTGCATTGATTTGCTGGCACAATAAGATTGTTCGATGGATTTGCTATCACTACATTCCACATTCATCAAGCCGGAATCCTTAACGAGATAACTCATCACTCGATCTGAACTCAGCATATCGTCGATCCAATCACCGTTTCGCCACTCTGATGGAATCAGAGCCTTTCCCCGATCGTTGAACGTCGTCGTCGTCTCAACAACTCGATCGCCGCCGGCCATGTCCACCTCAACGCCTCAATCGCCGACTCCCATTGCTGCCTCGATCGCCGCCGGCCGTCACCCATCAATAATACTCCATCACAAAGTTTTCCAAATTTGAATGAATTCGTTAATTTATATAGCCCGCGTTCTCAACGACTCGATCGCCGCCGGCCATGTCCACCTCAACGCCTCGATCGCCGACTCCCATTGCTGCCTCGATCGCCGCCGGCCGTCGCCCATCAATAATACTCCATCACAAAGTTTTCCAAATTTGAATGAATTCGTTAATTTATATAGCCCGCGTTTAAGAAAAAAAAAGAAAAAGAAAGCTGAATTATAATAGCGGACTCACGCTATTATAAGAGAGTAAAGTACACGCGCAGGGGGGTACACGGTACCCCTGGATGTACCAGATAATTTGCCCTCCGCTATATCTATGTAAAAAAAAAAGAAATTATTTTCTTAACTTTTAGTATTCTATTCTCGTATAATACTATCAATTATTCAAGATTTCATTTATATAAAAAAAAAAGGAAAATAATTATTGTATACAATTCCCCGAAAAAAAATGACATTCATGGGGTTTAATTTGCAATAAGAACGGGCCACTTCTTTATTACTTTGAACCGGCCCATTTTAAGTTCAGGCATATATGTTCATTCTCTGATACTACAAGGTTCATCGCTAGAATGAATCTACATAATATACGGAATGAACCAACTCTAAGAATCAAACTAGGCACTTTTATTTTTTTCCTTTCTTTTTGGAGGTTGAGGAACCAACTCTTCAAGCCTGTTGTAGGCCAGTTGATAAAGTCTTCTCCTCAAGCTCTGAATTATAAGGACAAATGGGGCGAAATATCAAAAATTATGTGGACGATATGGTCATCAAAAGTAATATTGACGATCGATTGATCGAAGACATACGTGAAATCTTCACGGTACTTCGTAACATTAACATGAAATTGAATCCAAAAAATGCAATTTTTGCGTTGGATCTGGAAAATTCTTGGGTTTTCAAGGATCTAAAGATAGGATCAGTGTAGATCCTGGCAAAATTGAGGTGATTCTAGCAATGAAAGCACCTAAAACAGTAAAAGAAGTCCAGAAGCTAACTGGATCACTGGCCACCCTGAATAGTTTCCTTTCTCGAGCAGCTAAAAGGAGCCTTCCCTTCTTCAAAGTTTTTCAAAAGGGACAAAAGTTCGAGTGGGATGAAGAATGCCAACAGGCCTTCCTAGAACTAAAGGAGCACTTCAAAACTCCTAGCCAAGCCCGATCCAAAAGAAGTTTTGTACATCTACCTGGCTACTCGAGACAATGGCCTCTCCACTGTCTTAGTACAATACAAAGACGGTAAAGAAATATTGGTGTACTTTGTCAGTAGAGTCTTGCAGGGGGCGGAAACACGATACACCCCATGGAAAAGCTGATACTGAGTTTGGTTATAGCAGCCCATCGACTAAGGCCCTACTTTCAAGCGCACCCCATTCAGGTATTAACAGAGCAACCTATCCTACAGGTCTTACTCAAACCTGAGGCGTCAGGAAGGGTGATGAAATGGGATGTAGAATTGGGAAAACACCAGATCGAGTACAAACCACAAACATCGGTCAAAAGACAAGCCTTAGCTGACTTCCTGGTCGAGATGCAACCCAACATCTTTCTCGATCCAATGAAGGATTGGATCCTCAAGTTTGGAAATTGTACGTCGATGGTTCCACTCTCGAAGAAGCGGGGGAGCAGGTATCGTCTTATCCAAACTGCCTACGGAGCATGATATCTACAAGATGAAGGAGTATGAGGTTGAGTACACCTATGCCCTAAGATTCAGCTTCCCGATCACCAATAATGTAGCAGAGTATGAAGCCTTGATCACAGGACTAAATTTGATCACATGAATAATCATGGATCTTAGGCTCGGGGTTCACAATATTGAAGTTTTCAGTGATTCTCAGGTGGTGGACAATTAAATCAACAAAGATTACACTGCCAAAGATGAGCATCTCAAGAGATACCTCAAGAAATTCCTCGAGTTACAAGCGCAGTTTAACAGGTGCATCATATCTCATATTGTGAGATCGAGGAACAAAAGAGTCGATGCCTTAAGCAAACTAGCCTCCTCAAACTTCGCACACCTCAGTCACAAAGTTTGAGTCGAGATTCTCCCCAGGCCTAGTATCTAGTAGGCTCCAGTGATGATAGTCACAAAAGATGGAGATACATGGATGAAAACCTTTATCTAGTTTTTGACAGATGGAACCTTACCTAGAAACAAGTCTGAAGCTCAAGCCTTACAGCTAAAGGCCGTCAAATACATGTTTTGATACGGGATTCTCTACAAGCATAGGTTACCTGCTACCAATGCTATGCTGTATTTGCCCAAACCAAGCAGCACATGTCCTCGAGGAGGTACACGAAGGATCATGTGGCGTACAAATGGGAGCTCGAGGATTGTTGAGCAGGATACTTCTGGACTACCATTTTCAAAGACGCATATCAGTTTGTGCAAAAATAGGACAGATGTCAAAGACTATTCTTAGTCACTCGACAACCCATGCATGAGATGATGGCCATCCAAAGCCCTTGGCCTTTCTACCTATGGGGAACAAACATCGTCGGCCCTTTTCCAAAAAGGGTAGGAGAAGTGAGATGGGTAATCATAGCAGTTGATCACTTTAATAAATGGGTAGAAGCAGAACCGTCAGCCTTGATATCTGGTAGGAAGGTGTTGAATTTTTTCAGGAAAAATGTTGTTTGTCGCTTTGGGTCCCAAAAGTGATTGTCTCGACAATGGGATTCAGTTTGAGAGCGACCCTTTCAAGTCTTGGTGCACAGAGATGCAAATCAAACGTCGATTCTTGTCTGTAGTGCATCCGCAAGCGAATGGACAAGCAGAAACAATCAACAGAACCATCTTGCATGCGATCAAAACCAGACTGCAAGGATTGAAAGATGCTTGGGTTGATGAACTTCCACATGTCTTATGGGCCTACCGCACCACGACTCACACTTTCACAGACGAGATGCCATACAACTTGGTTTATAGAATAGAGGCCCTATCAGTGAAAATTGGCCTGGCAAAGTCCTTGAACTATCAACTTTGTCGAAGATACTAAAGCAAAGATATCAGGACGAACCTCGACCTGCTCGAGGAGCGGCGGGACGCCATTCCAGAAGCAAGGTACAACGAAATTCTCAAGAAACACTACAACAAGTGGGTCAAAAACACTGATTTCATGCTTGGAGACCTTGTCCTTAGAAAGAATGAAGCTAATCGAGTGGAGTCTCTGGGAAAATTGACAGCTAATTGGAATGGACCCTCCAAGTAATTGAGACTTCCCCATCAGGCAGTTATCGCCTACAAACTACTGATAATACCGAGCGAATTCTCCCTCGGTGGTGGAACGTGCAGAATCTTTGCAGGTTCTACGTCTAGTTTTTTTTACATGTTTTTCTATGCCTTAGACGTGATATCTATTTTATATGGTTTGTTGCTATTATTTCTTCTTTTATATGTAATGCTAACTCGGGTTCTCGGGTAATTATTCAATAAAAGTCATTACATATTTTTCAAAAACATTTGATTTTACATGTCAACAATGAATTACATAATATGACTAGTCATTGCGATGGTTATCGTCTACAGGACCATCCTCGATTGTTACGTATATTCAACATCCGGATTAAAACCGGAGCATATTCCTCGTAACAGCCGTAGATTCCGTTAACATTTTAATGAGGAACTCGTACCTAGTTCACTCAAGATAGCCGTGTACTTAACATCTGGCCAAATCTTATAAGCCGTATATATATATATATATATATATATATATATATATATATATATATATATACACTCGAGTACTGAGCAATTGGCATGTCTAAAAGCCAAAATTTTATTAGCATACCCATATACCGTGTGGGACAACTTTCTAAATAATAACTTAAGCAGCAAAACTATCCTGCTCTAGCTTATTACAAGGACCTCCTTTCAGGGCTTATCTCGAGAAGTCCTTATGATGCCTCTATACTCTTTTTCTCTCACAGGGTCACACACTGGTTTAAATTATCCCTTAAATCAATAATTTCTACATCCTGGTTGCTCACAATTAGCAGCAATTCTTCCTGGGTAGTTCGTGCACGAGGATCTGCATCTTCTGTAGGCCTTTCCAATTCAGGAATCGGAATCCCACTGTCGAACAGCAGGTTCAAGAAAATGGCCGACTGTTGCTCAAGAAATTCGATATCCTTAGTCCTTTTCTTTAGCATCTCAACCAGGGTAATAAATTAAGCAATCCTCCTCCTTATCTGGGATTTGATCCTCACCAGTCCATGATGCTTCTTGAGATATGACGGAGAAATCAAGATGTTCTTCGCGGCTTTCAATTTCTTGTTTTCTTCCTTCAGTTGAGCAATCTCCTCACGTAAGTCTTGCTCCAAAGTTAGGGACTGTTGAAAACCAAGGTCATAATTGCGCTCACAATGATGCATCTCCTCACGAACTGCTCCAATGTTGGTAAATAGCTCGGCTTTGTACTCGAACGCTGTATGCTTGGATTGCATCGAGAATGTCCTTCTCCAATACCTTAACAACGTCGAGATCATGGATGAAGTCTCTTTTTGTCAGAATCCCCGATATCATCAAGTAGAGGAGGCACTCTCAAGATTGATCCTCATTTAAGCCCATAATATGGATGTGGTAATGATTGCTGCTTCCCTATTTTGTAGAACAAGAGAAAGGACAAGGGGGGAGAGTAAAACTTTTGCCAACTATCTTTAAAAAGGGAATGGGCGATTGACATTAAAATTCACAGTTAATAATAAACTATTTGGACATTCAGAATCAAATAAAAAGTTGTATCTTTACAAAAAAAAAAAAAAGAAGACAACAAAAACTCATACAATAGCAGTGTTATTAATCTCGGTTCAGACTGACCGGGTTAACCGGTTTACTTGGGAACCGGACGATAGTCCGAGCCGAATTACTAAAAACTCCTTCTTTTAAGACTCAGTCAAAACTGGTCAAAACTCCAATCGAAGCGGGAACCGGTCAAACTCGGGTCGAACCAGAGTTTTTTGGTTTTTTGCCTCATCTGACCACTTTTTGACCTTTTTCCCTTGGACTCCGTGTCTTTTTTTCTCTTTCCTGATCCGAATGTTTGCCTTTTATTCTTAAATGACTCAATAAGTTTTCTTCAAAAATTTTGTCATTTTTGTCCCAAACTTTTCACTTCGAATTATTAAACACACTATTTTTTTTAAAGAAACATTCTTTTATTATTTTTCTCACATATGAACCTTCATTATTTAATTCAAAATTTTAAATACATCTCAAATATGTTGAAATTGATTTTTATGTTATACATTTTTTAATACTAAAAGTTGATTATCTTGTAAATTTATAAATTTTAATTACTAATAATTAATTTATTTATTGTTAAACTAATATACTTATTTTAAGCTATAATTAAATACTTTAAAATAATATTGTTGACTATTACCATTGCTTCAAAATAATATTTCTTGACTATTAGATAAAAAAGATGCATAAATATTAATTTTTTAATGATTAATATATATAATAATTATATATTATTTATTACATCATAATGACATCATCCGAGCCGACCCCCCGTCGACCCGAATTGCCCTTAAAACCTCTGACCCCTACCCTTGTCGAGTCGGTGTCTGTGCCGAGTCTGACAACATTATACAGTAGCAAGAGGATTCGATTCCTAGGTGGCATCATTCCCAGAAGTTCCGTCTCTGGAACCCTGATTAGCGCAATGGAGGCATTGGGATCCTGATTCTCCTTATTGGTTCCTGGGTCATCTACTCGAGAATCAAGCCCATCAGCAGCTTTTTGGGCAGCGGCCGCAAATTTGTTCGCATCCGCTAGGTTTCCGATGACTTCCTCTTATTCCTAGCAATATCCTCTTATTCCTAGCAATCTGAACCCTCTTCCTCTCAACACTCCTCGTCGGGTACATTGGGAACATCCAATTCAGTGGAGGAGGACTGGTCATGGTTGTGGAGACGTCACTAGCAAGCCTTGAAAGCTCTTTAGGAACCTTCATCTCTAGAAGGGTAAGCTTTAAGATCTCCAAGAAGGGGAATTTTCCTACCTTGGGGTGCATCAGCCCCGTCACCAGAGTTTCGTGCATGGTCTGTTGAGGATCAGGTTTCAAGAATTGCTTTAGCCACTTTGCTGAAATACTCCTGGTCGACTTCAATCTCTTCATCCCTTGATGGCCACACAATGAGTGCCAAAAGGAAACGACGCGTTGTTGATGGTCTCCACTGTCTCTGCGATACCACCGGTTCGCATTATCTTGAATAGGAAATAGACTAACCAATCGTACAGATCTTCTTTTGAGATGTGTGAATCTCAAAAATCTTTCAGTTTGGCCTCCAATGCATCATATTTTTCTTGTAAGTCAGCAATCTGCTTCTCCCGAGCAGCGAAAAGTGTCAAAGTCACCTTGGACTCCCATCTCAAAACCAATTGGCAATGAGTGGGGTGGCCTTTGGCACTTATAAACAGGTGACAGATCCTTCACGACACCGATGTGAGATTCAGGTGATAGATCCTTCACGACATCGATGTGGGATTCTTTTTGTCCCAACAAAAAGCAGTTGGTCCTTCTTGAGTATGTCTTCTTGGGTGGTCTTCTCATGCTCTGCTTCCCTTTTTTTGAGCAGCGCTTTTTCTGCCTCTTCTATCATACTCCTCATTCGGAGAAGGAAGCTCATCATCACTGCGTTCATCTGGGGTCGACCACGCCAAGTCAGAACGAATATAGATATAAAGTATCAGATAATTTTTATCATAAGTGTCATTCTTACCTGCTTCACGCATTCCATCTCAGACATCACTCGAGCAAGCTCCTCAAGCTCAGACACTCAATTGTAGGGGGATCATTAAATAAACACACAGACGCTCCCGCGCCACTGTCGGTCTCAATTTGAGGCAAAGGCTGAGCATCCCCCTCGAGTACCTCCTAGCCTTTAAAGGTCTGAGCTGCTGTCTCCACCTTCATTATTGGGATGTCCTCTGTTATGACCGGTGGGTCATTCATCTCCTCGGTTCTAGGGGGATCAACTTTGCTCTTTTTTGTTTGAGCCTTCTCCAAAGGCTTTGAGCCCTTGAGCAAATTTCTCTTCTTCTTCTTCTCTCCACAAACAGGAGGCTCCTCGTCATCTAAATTTACCACAAACGAAGGTGGTTTGTCTCCATATAATCCAGAGGTGTTGGTGCTTGACAACATGACCTAAAGCAGAATAAAACAAAAAGTGAGATTATGTTTGTGCATGGGGGGATGTAACGTTCAAACTATTTATATGTATACAACGTAGGAAATACAATTACGGTCTGAACATCCTTCCGATACTTCTTGATCTCAATCTTGTCCTCCTTAGTCCATTCGTCTTTAATGGGACCGAGACCATTCTGCTCTCAATAATCCCATTTAATATTCATATATGAAGGTCCCTTTATTAAGAAGTACCCCGGTCTCCAATACGGTGCTCCAGTAAATGCCTTCACTACTTCTATTGTGCCGCTCGAATTGTTCCTCTTTACCGCATACCCTTCTTTATATGCAGTCGAGGGGAGGTTAACCCTAAAGAAATACCTAAATACTAATAGTCAAGGCACTATGTTTGACTCGTCACATATTTTGGCAAAACCTAATACATATGTCACTAAATTGGGACTGAATCGAGTCAGAGGAATCTTGTAATGTTGAAGTATTTCCCCAAACAAGAAAAATAGGGGGAATCTAAGGCCTAATTGTCTCTTTCATACATCATTATTATTCCTGGTGGTAGATTGTCGACCCTTTCATTTCCTACTGGGGCACGAGCTTCTAATCTAGGAGAAGGTTATACTTTTCAGCAAACGTAAGAACTTTTTCATATGTATCAAAGCTCGATTCAAAGTCCTTGACGGTGCATTTTTTTGGGTTCTTACGCTTGGAAATGACTACTAGATCTGGAAAGCGAGAAATTGCAATTGAGAAAAAAGAGGGGAACCAGGTACTCATTGGAACTCTGGGCGGAATTTGTCTTGTACGATAACCTCCCAGAACGAATAGAGCAAGGTTAATAAGCAGGCATTGTTGCTTCGCTTCTGCTTCTTTTGGCGGCAATGACACATTTGCTACAGAAAGAGTGTACTGAGTATATTTCCAAGTGAAAACTGAAAGATAAAGTCCCCATTTTAATGTGAAAGACGAATAAGGAGCACGATTTGACGGTTTTGCCATTTTTTAAGGCAGGCGTAATGATAGATATCCGTCGTTTGGGAAACGTACCGAAGAATGGGGCTTTTGAGTCTGGTCGTCTTCCTAGGTTGAATCTTGACCTGCAAACAAATATCCTGGGCCCTAACTTGTCCAAAAGGTCTTGGGTCGATCTAGGTACATGTCTATTATTTTGTCAAGTATTATTTATTTCATTCACTAACACTTGACAGGGGCACTTGACGAGTCCATATCCACATTGGGTCACTGGACCCGATCCATTCATCAAATATGGTCCAACCGACCTTGTAAGGCGTTTAGTAATATGAAACCTAGAAGGATTCGGACATCCATAAGGTAATTTTATGTCTATAAATAGTGTTGATAACACTACAATCAAGTTACACTATCTATTGCACCCAATAGCTGTCGCATAAATTCCGAAAACCCTCTTACTAAGTCAAGCATCAGAGTATCTAATCCTCATGAGACCCCCGAAGTTCTCTTTTGCAGGTCACAAAACCTAACTGGAGTTCCACCGTTCAACCACCAGTCGAATTTCAGCTTCGTCAATAAATCTACTCAGGAGCCATTTGTTTGCTGGGAATCAGATTCGGGATTCAGATTCGGAATTGAATGAAATGTTTGGTTGATGGTATTCACGAATCCCGAGAATGGCTGAATCCGAGAGACTGAATCCTTACCTTTACCCCATGATTCAATTTGAATCCTTTCATTTTTTTTCCAAAGAAAAACATTATTATAATATTTTCTCTTTCTTTCTCCTTGCCTCTCTCTCTCCTATCCGTCTTCTCTCCCCTTCTACAACGTCCTAGCTACGTCTTCTTTTCTTCTTCCTTTCCTCTCTCTCTCTCTCCTAGCAGTCCTTCATTTCCTTCTGCAACTTCTTCTCTTTCCTTTCACTTTCTCCCTTTTTTTTGTTTATCTTTGGCTGTATAAATTTCATGATAGATTAATATGAAAGACCACATATATGAAATTTCGACTTGGAGTTGGGTGATTTGATCAATGCCGGTGCCGGCGGTAGAAATTTTTACCGTCCACCATTTTTAGTGTCTTCAGATCTAAAATCTCCTTTTTCAATCTGTTTATTTGGGTCCGTTAACAGTAACTGGAAGGAACAAATGGTTTAATGCTTGATCCATGGATCTTATTGAATTTTAAATAAAGGAGATGACGTGTGTCATTATAAGTGGTGGTGGTTCTTGGTGGGCAGTGGTGGTGTGGAGGCATTGTTCAGGTGAAGAGGAGGAGCAGACAGTGGACGGGGAAAGGGTCTTTAATTTTTTTTTATTTTGATAATAATAGTAAAAATAATTTTTTTTTATTTTTCTTTTCCAATCTTATGTTCAACCAAACGGCACTATGAGATCTGTGAATCCCTGATTATTCGAATCTATTCCATCATTACTCAAATCCGTTTCCAGCTGACAAAACAAATGCCTCCTCAATTCTTTGCATAAAAAAATAGATTTTCAATTGGGTTCAGTGGTAATACACAACCTATAATCTGACGCAAGTTATCTGCACTTGAAACTGATATTTTACATAAATACCACTTCCAAGATATTATAACTAGCTAGTTTTAATATATAGTTGTTTTTTCTTTGTTACTCGATCTTATGTTTACTTTTGAATAATGTCCACTTATTAAAGTTAGTAGATCAAAAGTTAGTGAAGTACATAATATGACGTATACAACATTCCGCTATAATAGCATGCGTACTTATAATTAATCTTATAGGTACATTTTCTTCTTAAAAAAGGACAAAAATATTTTTGGTCCCTAAACTATGGGAGGGCCACAACTTCTTGTCACAATTAATTTTTTACTCATTAGTCACCATCTTTTCGTTTATTCAACAATTTTAGTCAATTTAAAAGTCAATTAACGATCAACTCTTTTTTCAGTTAAGTTTTTTAATTTTTATTATTTTTTTACTGAAATGGAACCGGCAATATATTTTCAAACAACAAAATCAGGCCCCTAATATTTTTTTTCCAACAATTTTATTCATTTCAACAGAATTTTCATAAACTTAATGGTCCAATTCAATTTTTCTTTAAATCTTTATTTTTATTGGTTACTTTATGGATTGTGGGCCACACAAATCTTTGATCAGAATATTTAAAAAAAAAATAAATTAAAAGACGGATGGCTAATCGTAAATCAAATACCTTTTGTTAGGTTAATCGTAAATCGATTACCTTTTGTCATTTCTTAGCCAAACACTTAAAGTATAAGGAAGGCTTTGAAACTATTAGGACACCACATACAATTTGTCTCTCATACCAAAGCGGATAATTTTTCAGTCAACTTGCGAGAGTTATTTCAGAAATCGAGTCGTTAACTGGTGGTTAGGACGTTTTTTTTGGTTCTCAAAAAATTATTTGTATCAAATGGTAACATTCTAGAACTAACACATTATTAATATAATCTGAGTGAAAGCAGTACGATAACTCGCGAGTCATACAATCTCCAAAATCTCCACAACTTTAAGGATGATTTTTCTTTTTAGTGAAACTACTTTATATTCCTTACATATGGAAATTGACTTTAATCCAATACAGCTAGACCCCTTATACGATTAGACAAGTCATCATGCAAATTTTGTGTAGTGGTACAGAATGAACTTACGTGTTTAGCGAGACCGTCAGCTACTGTGTTCTTTTTTCTATACATATGCCGAATGGTGACTGGCATATTTTGTGCCAAAAGTCATATCTTTTTGAGAGAATGCTTTGATCTCCACGGCCAACTTGTTAGATTAGCTAGCATGTTGACTAGAGTTTTTAAATCCATTTCAGCTTCAATATGTGTAAATCTAAGGCTTTGGAAAAGTTGTATTTGCCGAAACTAAGGACTGTCGATCATGCACTCTTACTATTGACCTTAAATCCTCTCTTAATCCGCTCAAGAAGTGAACAAAATATTCTTCTAGAAGTCTTGGATCTTTCAGTTGATGAGTGCATTTCGTACTATATTTTTAAGCATCTATTTTATCTCTTTATACTTTAATTATAGGTCAATTAGGTTAGAATTATATGTTTTTAGGCTAATTTAGTGAATTATTGTAATCCAGGGGCTGAACAAAAAGGTGGCCAAAATGTTGGAGAATGGTGAAATTTCAGACCATATTGGAAGATGTTGCAGGGACTGAAGTGTAAGGGCTGAAGAAGAGGAAGAATCTGGCGGGAAGAGAGCCAATTTGGAAGAAAACCCTCGAAACTAAGGAAGAAGAGCCATTGGTGAAGTGATGCGGATGGCATTAGGAGGAGATTGATGTGCCTTAAAGCTGAATTATTCAACTAAATCTCCCCAAATGATGATTAGAGGTAAGGGGAAAGTTGGAGGAAATACGGATCTCCTCTTTTTTGCATAAACCCATCGGGTAAAGAGGAGACCAACATGGCTGAGCAAGATCTCCCTCCCAACCTCTATAAAAGGCAGCAGCAGCAGGAAGAAGAAGGCATCGAAGTCCAGAATACATTAGAAGTAGATTAGTTAGTGTAGTTTAGTTCAGTTAGGAAGAAACAAAGTATAACTCTTGAACGTAGACTTATGGGTGTCTCTTGGGGAAGTGAAAAGCCGACTCTGCGAAATCAGCTACACTTTACCACACTCCCTTACTTTACTTTTCTCCTGTTTTCTTCTCTCTTTGTTTTAATCAGGTTGGAGTTTCAGCACTTGAACTCTTTGGTGTTTGAGCTCCACTTCATGAGTACCTAAATCCATTTCTAGGGTCTAATCCCTCTACTCTATATAATTATGTTTTGATTGATGCTCTCGGATGATATTTTTGTGCTTAGTTCTAGAGTTTAAATTATCCTTTTAGGTTGAATAGGCCATTCAACAATGGAAGGGTAAAGTTAACTTTGAACGTCTAGGATTAACCAGTGACGAGGGGTAATAGTCCAAGGTTCCAAACAACAACAGAAATTAGTTGTTTGGCACCAGACAATCAGAAGAGCCAAAGATCTTAATGGTTTAGTATTAATTTCGA